GCGCGGGCTTGGCACATCCACGACCGTCCTAGAATCACATTGAATGGCGAGGGAGCATCGATTATGGCAAAATCCATTGTTAGATTTACCGTTCGAGGATAAGTACCTACCGTGATTGGAAGCCTAACGATTCCACTTGGAATTATCGTGTGCCCAGAGAAGCCCATCAATGGTAAGGTAGCCGGGCACCAATCTGGATTCTGTACATTCATTCTCTTGAAACAATCATTGTAGATGATGTCGACTGCGCTGCCATTGTCGACGTATACGCGACTTACCCCCACATTACCTATGATGGCATCGATAACCATGGCGTCGCTGTGGGAACAAACGCCGGGGATGACGTCACTAATCAGTGAAAACAATTGCCTCGGTTCCTTTAAACCGCTTGTGACTTGGCTCCTGCGGTGGGGTTTTTGTTACTTGTCAAACAGAGGCTTTCATTGCTGTGGTCGAGAGAACTTCGAGAGGTGCTCCATAAATTGCTCCGACATTGTGGGTAATCTGCTTAGCTGGATCAAGGGGAGGTATTTGCTGTATTGGCTGTGGTTTGTTATCGAGGGCTTGCTGAGCCAGCTGTTGCGAGTTGTCCCTCGGCTGCCAATTATTTCCTCGGTTATCTCGGCGGGAACCACGATTGTTGTTTCACCTGGGGAAGTTACGGGAACTGATTTTTCCCGGGAACTGCGGGTATCTCCTCGAGTTGTGCCTTGTGTGTTTTGCACATACTGTTGGAATTTTCCCGACTTCACTCCTGCTTCAATTTTCCGCTTGAGTTCCTGACAATCTTCCGTATCATGCCCATGGTCCTTGTGGTATTCGGAATACCGATCCGTAGACCTATTCGGATTATGAGTCAGTGGCTTTCAGACTGGGAACTCGTCCTTGTGGATTTGGAGTATCTCTCTGTGAGGCTTTATCAATGGAGTGAGTAATCTGTCGAGCCTGGACAGGGAAGGTTTGCTTTCAGTCAGGGACTTATATCTGTCCTTCCCCCCTCGCTCTCCTGCAAGTGTGAAAGATTCTTGGGAATTCTTCAGTGCTTGTTCCCGTTGGATATAGCTTTCCACCGTGGCCCACATCTCTTTGGTGTTTCGTGGAGGTTTAGTGGTTAATTTTACTCGCAGGGGGGCGGATTTTCCCCAAGAGTTAAGTCCCTGGATGAAGCCATTCCTCACGTCTCTATCATCGAGGTTGTCAATTTGGAGAGATTCACGGGTGAAGCGGCGATGGAAATCCGAGAGGCTCTCATTATGTCCTTGCCTTATGGAAGATAGGTCAATGGACATTTTGGTAACTTGCTTGCTGAGGAAGAATCTGGTGGCTAGCTTTACCGTGAGATCTTCAAAGCTGTCGATGCTTCCTTCTGGCAGCTGTCCAAACCAACGTTGTGCTTGCCCGTCGAGGAACGAGGGTAGAGCCTTTGCCATGAAGTCCAGAGATGCATTGCGGATTCTCATGACTTGGACGTACTTGTTTAGAAATCGCTGCAGATCGGAATCTCTTGTATAACAGGTGAAGTCTTTGGGGAAGTCGAAATCTTTAGGTTTCGGGCAATCTCGAATTCTGGGGATGAAAGGGCTTCGGTCCACGATCATCCCTATCATTCTCCGAATTGAGTCTCGAATCGAAGGATCCTGGTTACCTCGACTTTCTTGATTTCGAGGTGGGGGATCCCCTCCTCGACGATAGTCATGACGGGACTTTTCCTGTGTCCCTATTGGTCCCAGTCGAGAGTGAACATTGCCTCTCGGGGGCTCCCACTCCCTTCTAGACAGTTCCTCGACGCTAGGTGACCTTCGTCGATCTTGTCTACGAGATTGTTTCTTCTGTTCGTGCTCCTGTGCAAACTGCTGAATTGCTTGATAAACCACCGGATTTGTTTTCTCGAGTGCTTCCCAGAAAGTGTCGCCGGGGGTCTCGGAAGATTCAGCGCGAGGAGTTTCTCGATAGGGGGTTTCCTTATGAGCCCTTTCCTCTTCTGGCAGTATTCGGTTGATTTGACAGGGGTGGTCTCTTTCTTGGTTTGTCGATCATTCCTTTTCCGTTTCTGCCTTCATCGGAAGTGTGCCAGAGTTTCGCCGTCCTCGGGGCTTGTCTGTCTTCCAGTTGATGCATCACTGGATTGGGGATTGTCAACTACCACCATCTTTCCCTCCACCGATTCTGTTCTGGAAGCGAATTGAAAGGTTTCGAAAAGCTTGAGAAAGCTGGGTGACACAAACCCTAGTTTTCGGGTCCCACTGGGCGTCCCACTTGACGATACTTGGAATTGTACCGCGAATGCTGGGTGGAACACCGACTAGGGTTTCCTGCAAAACAAAACCTCGGGCGTCTCCCGATGGTAAACACTCCAAAGTTTAAGTCAGAAAATAAGATTGTGTATGTATATTTTGATGGCCAAGATTGCATAGCTTTATGGTGGAATAATGGTCCCTATTTATAGACCTGAGAAGCATCCGATTATTACTAGGGTTAGTAATAATACACTGCCATATCCAATGTGGTTTGACCCTAAAGCCGAGTAGTGGGCCAGCCCATATTAATGCAATGTTGTATTAATTAATATTTACGGTCATTGAAGGCGTTATCACAACTCTTTGTATATTGAGTGCTTCCTTCAATCCATTTCAACAGACACTTTTTATTCTTAGTATTTTTTTTTTCAAGAACGTTTTGAAACTTAATCTCATTTCAGATATTAAATTTAATCTCGTCTATGAATTTTGTAAATATACACTACCACAATCACTAAAATCAGGAACATTTATTTATTTTCAACTCCAACTTCTATATTAACTAGTAACCTATTATTAGGAGTGTGTACAATAAATTACTCTAAGATTAACAAACGAAACTACACTACGTACACATATTTTCTTAATCTCTACACATGTTTATACTTTTGCCGGGCAACTTGCTGAATTAATGAGATGAAGTAAGATAATCAAAAGTTGATTGGCCGTAACACTTGGAATAAAATACCATATCCTTCAGCTCATATTATTTTATTTTTCACTTTGGTGCTACTGCTACCAAAAGCTTTGGAGCTTGTTTTCTACTTTTTTTTTTTTTTCCTTTCCCTTCTTCTCCTTGTATTTTGTATTCTAGTTTAATAATGTATTTTTTGAATTTATAATACTATTCTTTCCGTCTCAAAAAAATAGCTCATAAAGACAAATTTCAAAACTCAATGTTTACTAATTTTTTGGAATAGAGAATATCATATAACAATGTATTCGAATGTGATAGAATTTCAATGATAAAATATGTTTGTTTAATTAATATAAAACCAAATTACCGTGTAAGTGAACACAACAGGGCTAAAGTGAATAATCACAAAATAAGATCATTTGTTTATACCCTTTTCCTTCGATTTTTCCTTTATGTCCACCTTTATTAATTAACCTACTATGCGGGACTGCTCACACGACAATAGATACTAACTTGGGCCAAAACCTCAATCTAAAAGGCCATTAACTCTTATCTTTAAGGGTTTTGAGTTTTGACAAGTTCAACTCTATGCAAGTGACAACAATTTGTTATTGTCAAAAAAAAAAAAAAGAACAATTTGTTAGGACAGAATCGAAACTGAGAACTGAGGTTAAACAAGCCGCGCGTCTTGATTTGGAACTCAATCCTCCTATCAAACACTTGAAGACAGCATACGGTATATTGGAATAGGACTATTTAGTCTTTATATATAATCGATGTAAAATATTAAGGTATTTGCTTATGAGATTTATCTACTTCGGTGAGACGTCAACCTTGAATGTTTTAAATAAAATCAATTGAATTACTTATAGTTACTTGCATTTGTTTTAAATCAGCTGTCCGTTCCCATTTCGAAGAGCCAATTCAATCTAATTATTGATTTAACAAACCCTCTGGTATAATACTATCGCCAATGGGTCAAAAACAAAAAGTTGACAAAATAGAAATAATTACGGGAGGTGGGCTAATTTTATTTTATTTGCAAAAAGTATATTATAAGATGTATCCTAGTTAATCTTTCCTAGAGTGTCATCTATATTATAAAGGGGAAACCTGAGAGAGAAACTAGTTTATCTTTTCTAGAGTATCCTGGCATTATTCTATAAGTTCAGAGAAAAATAACTTTGTGTAATAACAAACAAATAAAGTCCTTATATATTTAATTAATACAATTTAAGTACAACGTTACTTTGTTTAGTTTTCTTCACTCCACTAAAAAACAGAATATGACATTTACTTTTTATCCGCTACTGATTATAACTTTGATACAGAAATCATGAGCCATGGCTAGGTAATGCCTAGTGGTTTAGGTAATGAATTGAGAATATCAATTGAAAATCAATGAGAGATTTCATTGTTCGGATATACATGAGGGGACAATGTGTTTTGGTTCGGGTGAGACCATTTTGTAACCGAATACCAGAATACTCAATTCCGCAAACTTGCCTACCCGATATTTTTACCCGATGAACAGCCCTAGTCGATGCAAAAGCTGGCGTTTCCGCTGACTATGGTGTCGACGGATAGAGAAGTGGACCAAGTAGTGGTTAGGGATCGAGTCAAGAGGCAGTGTCAGGTAGCGAAACGAAGTGCATTTGGGTTTCCAGAGAGTGACATGTTTGACCTTTTTAATCAATTTACAATGGAATATAGCAAGCTTTTCTTTTAATATGTCGCTATTTTTGTTAAAATTAATTAAATGTTTAAGTTGTGGAGATATGATCATAAGAGGTAAAAATTAATAGGCATAAAACAGTAGAAAAGATCAACAGCAACGAGTTTCAACAGTGTGAATTCAGGGACTTAATTGTAATAAGCATAGAACTTGACCTTTTTCATTATAGTTGACTGTTACTATAGGGGCTATCTTTGTAAATACTTATTCTGCTGATAGTTTAGTCGGCTAATAAATACAGACCATAGTTGCCTACCTAATTTTAGGATCTCTACTAGAATGATTCGAAAGCAAGAGAGGGAACTTTGGGAAGAAATTAGCGTACGTAGGACCGAAACTCCATAAACTCACAAGTTTTTTTTTAATAGAATGACGTTCTCTTCTTTTTTCTTTCTTTTTTCTTTTGGAAAAAATCAAGTTTGCTTTGATAATCATAACGATTGAAAATAAAGTCTTATATCACAACTCATGAGTAAGTTAGCTCTTCGTAAATTATGCCTTACTCGATCTTTGCCTCCTCTCTATCCCTTTATAACTACCGTCTGTTGAAGAGCTAGTTTACACATCTAGGTACCGCTATTAATTCCTCCTCCCTGCTGCGTGTGCACGTGCATCTTTATTCCCGTTTTGCCTTTCCTTTTTGGGTGGTTTGTATCAAGATAACATGATGAGGTGGTTATCAACGTTGGGGAAGAGCTTCCAAGTGAGGAGGCAAATGCCGGATCTAGTTCGCCCTACGAGACCAACACCACGCGAGGTGAAACTTTTATCTGATATTGACGACCAAAGTGGGCTACGAAGTCAAGTTCCCTGTCTATATTTTTATAAAGGAAGAGAAAATCATGACGGTCGTCGTAATAACAAGGAAGAGGATCCCGTGAAAGTAATTAAAGCGGCTCTAGCGGAAACATTAGTACCTTACTATCCGTACGCTGGACGATTGAGAGAAGGACCTGGAAAGAAACTAGCGGTGGATTGTACCGGCGAAGGCGTGATGTTTATCGAAGCCGATGCGGACTTTACACTCGAGGACTTTGGGGAGGAGGTTCAACCACCATTCCCGTACTGGGAGGAGCTGCTGCACGAGGGTCCTGGTTCTACTGAATTTCTCCATTCCCCTTTGATTCTTATACAGGTTTGTAATCATAAGCGGTTTTTTTTCCCCCCTCCATGTCTAGCTTCATTCATAGTTGTTATTTTCTAGCATCTCGATTCAATCTCTTTCTTGAGTACAAATAATACTACTACTACTATCTCTGTTCAAAAAATAAAATAAAGATAAAATAAAATAGTTGGTGATGAGTTTTGAGATTTGAAACAACACGCGCAGGTGACACGTCTCCGATGTGGCGGTTTCATCTTCGGCTTCCGCTTCAATCACGCCATGTCAGATGGTACGGGAATGGGGCAATTCACAGCAGCCATGGCTGAGATCGCAGGAGGAGCCTCCGCCCCGTCGATAACTCCGGTGTGGAGGAGAGAGCTTTTGAGCGCCAGAGACCCTCCGCGAGTAACTTGCATCCACCGAGAATACGACGACACTTCAACCACAAAACTCCAAACGAATCCATTCGGGTCGGCTACCGACTTGGTCGACAGATCAGTCTTCCTTAGCCTTGCCAAAATCTCCGCCCTACGCACCTCACTGCCGCCTCACCTCCGCCTCAAGTGCTCCAATTTCGATGTCCTCACCGCCTGGTTGTGGCGCTGCCGCACCACTGCCCTCCAACTCGACCCGGAAGAGGAAGTCAGGCTCATGATAGCTGTGAACTCTCGGCCCCGGTTCAATCCGCCCTTGCCTAGAGGCTACTACGGCTGCGCAATTGGCTTACCGGTGGCGCTGACCACCGCACAAGAATTGATCCAGAACCCTCTCGAGTACGCCGTGGATCTGGTGATGAAGGCCAAATCACAAGTGACGGAGGAGTACATGAAGTCGGCTGCCGACCTGATGGTTCTGAAAGGGCGACCCAAATTCACGGTGGCATCCACCTTCTGGGTGTCCGACCTCAGAAGGTTTCAATTCCATGAGTTAGATTTCGGGTGGGGAAAACCCATTTACGGTGGCCCCGCCAGACTTCGGCCGGCCATGAAAATACTTTCCTATTACACCAACAAAACCAACAAGGCAGGGGAGGAAGGAATCAGTGTTTTTCTTTGCTTACCAAAATTTGCCATGGAAAAGCTCACCGGAGAGATTGATCGGATTGGGCGGTGAAAACTAATTATCACATTAAAATTTGCTTTAACTAATTTACTACTGCTTCTCTATGTTCCAAAATTGTAAGGTGTTTGTTTTCTTGGTGTGTGTTTGTGTGTTTTTTCTCTCTTTTCTTTTTTTCTTTTTTTTTTAATTAAAAAAATGAAATGCACTCCAATAATGGTAACTAGATACTCCCTTCATTCCAAAATAAGTGTCATTTTGGTAAAATAGAGAAATTCCAAAATAAGTGTTGTTTTCAGATTCCAATGTATTTTTTGTCAAAAATTTCTAAATATACCCTCAAAAGAAATAATATTATTAGTGAGCATTTATTTAATGAGGTTGGTTGAGGATATTCTTGTAATTTATTTACCCTATTTAATGTTTTCTCAAACTGTGTGTAAACTCTAGAATGACACTTATTTTGGAACGGAGGGAGTACTTGGCTCGGGCGGCAGAGATGCTTGGCTTGGGCGATCTCTTGAAAATAATATTTGTAATGAAATGTATGTGTTGATATAAGAGTATATATATACTGATACAATAATGATTGGTTTACGTGGTGTAGAAATAAAATTATTCCAAACTTAGAGGACATAAAGTGTATATAATTGTAGTCCACCCTTAATAAAATAAAAGAACAAAAACCCCAAACTTCCTTCATTCCGTCTTTTATTTCTGGAACATAAATAAAACAAAGAGATAATATTGGAGGATAGATCTCCGATGAAGATCACACGATTCCGATAAATTTGCTCTAACATCTCGCATATATCGTTCGTCCTAGCTGTCACCTCCAATCACGACCAAAATCGGCTTCATCGGAAACGTAAATCGGTTTGGGTTAGAATTCAAAGCCTATTTTATCAAGCGATCCAGAAGTCATTCACAGGATAAAGATTGAGATCTCAGACATTCACCGGTAATTATAAATAGAAAAAAAATACATAATATATTATAATTTAGATACTATCCTAGGCTAATACTCCGGGTGTCGCCTGTATTTGAAGTTAGTTAAATTAAAGAAGTAAATCATCCAAAAAAATAATAATAAAACTTTTTAAAATATAATGTATGTATAATAATGTACGTTGGCCTTGATAAAAAAAAAAACGGGGTGGGGGTGTGTTGGGGATGGAAGACAATGGCTAATTAATCCGAAGGGCACTCGATCAGAGAGTAGACCTACATTTAGAACTTTTCCCATCTCTTCTTTAAAGTAAGAAGAGTCAAGTTTTGTATCAATTCCCCAATAACTTGTTTGCAAAATTTATCCATTTGATGAAACAGAGGATGCCAGCTCTTGGCTTTCTTGAGCTACATTTTTGTTTTTGATCCATCATCAATTCCCCAATAACTTGTTTGCAGCGTTCGCCCTAGTTGATCATAGATTCCCTACTTCCTGATAGCTTTTATTTTTCTTTATTAGTTGATAAATTCATAGATCACCAATCATGTTCAAGGAAAGCACGAATAATTTTTATCAAACCATAATTTTGAGCATCCAATCAAAATATATTTGTATCACACTAACCTTGTTTATCCAATGTCTCTTTCAATACACTGATTTAATCATCCTCAAGTACACCAGCTGAAATGCTTTCTTTAAGCATCACTTCTGGAACACAAAATAATTCAACAAACTTTGTGAACTACAGTATATCTCTATTTAAAAACAAAAGCCAAAAATAAAAGCTAAAGTCACACAGATATAATTTCTCAATATGAAATAAAATGTAGGCGTAAAGAATCCAAAAGAAGAAGAAAACTCAATTACCAAAAACGTCTCCACTAGGATCAAAACAGGAAAGACCAGTGATGATTACAGTTCTTGGATTCGTTTCTTTGCCGTAAGGACCGGTGTCTTGAAATGCACCCGTGCAATGCAGTTCAAAGTAAGGATTGAACCTCTCGTAGATACTTTACCTAAAACCGATCAAATTAGTCTTCCAAGTGCAAAATTCTGACTTAGAACCTTTAGCTAAAGCTTAAGGTTTTATAAAAAGTTATTCTTAATGATCTAAGCGTACAAAATACAATCGATAACGAATGTTCACACTTTGAAAGGCATACACAGTTGTTGTAACCAAAAAAAGAATACCAACATGAAAAGCAAAATCGTCGACACAACATACCCATACAACCACCAATCTAAGTTAAACAAACAGAACCACTACATAAATTGATATGCTTAATTGATGTGGTTAATCAATATAAACTGGTTTTCTTTATTCCCAAAATAAGGAATCTGTCACTCAATCACAATAATCGATGTCTTTTTTTGTAGCTGCCCTAACAAAGCAAAAATTACAGCTTTTAAGCTTTAATTACACATAAAAAACAAAAACTTTTAAAATTACCGGTGTTGGAGCATAAGTTTACTTAGAAAACAACTCCACTGCCTTCTCCAATTGTCGGACTACAAATTTGGGCTCCTTTGTGTTGCCTGTCACTGCAATTCGCCAAATTCAGAATCATTAAAAAGAATCCTTTAAAAAAATAATCAGAAACCTTAATCTAACATCCCCGATTATTACGATTCGTACCTTGATCGAGTTTCCATGGAGATTTTTGCCTTGAAACTTTTCTTTGGCGGTTTTAGTATCGTCGATTTCATAAAATACATAAAGGCATAGTTTTGCTCTGAATATTTCGTTAGAGTAAATGAAAAAATAATTTTGAAAATAATATAAATTTTATAATTTTATAATTACATTTAAATTAATAAATAAAATTTTAATAATTAAATAATGAAATGTGAATTTTATAATATTTTCAATGATCTAAAATTTTAATGGAAGTTCAAATTAAGTGAAAAGACGAAAATACCCATGATTCCGACATGTCAACGGCCGGTCAACATCGAGCCGAACGGAAAAGTGGTCGAAACAGTAAAATGAGACCAAAAAAGTTTGAAAACAAAATGTTTGGGACTACGATATTGAAATGTTAATGTTAGGGACGTAAATTCAAGTAAGCCCAAATTTAAGGGACCGTTTGGACATTTTACTCTATTTCGTTATATCAATTGGCCTGTGTCTTGCCCTTAAATCTGAATCCGCCATTTCAGGGGTTAGGTTGCCGATCCAGAGATTGTTTGACACCGGCGCTTCTGATTCGGCAGTGAACGACAGTATCGTAAATTTAAGAGGAGAAATAAGGAGCAGTGGGGTAGCGAATCCTTTCTTCTTCTGAAACTTGAATTTAGTAAAGAGAGTTAATTCAGATAATTCGAAAAATCAATTAGTTGGAGTGATTTTTGGGATTGGGATGATAATGCGCTGAAGCATTGTTGAACGAAGGAGATAAGGGCTGAATGTAACCTTTTGCTTCATGAAAATGAGTATGTTATTTATCCTTTTCGAAAAAAAACAGTATTATGCTATTTATCTGCCTCCGTATAGTGTCATGTGTCAGAAATTTTTTTTACTAAAAATGATTTTTGGCGAGAAAAAAAAAATGAATGTGGAGTTAACACATGTCCTCCTTGTATGCTGCTTTAATTAAGTATACTAGTATTATACTCGCACGTTGTGCGGATTTTATTATATTTTAGAGTAACATTAATATACCATTATTTTACTATGAAAAGTTTCATATGTTTTAGTTTTGCCGCTTTTTGGTATATTAGGCATTCGGAGTCCAAATTCAAGAGTGTCATACAGTGTTTTTTTTTTGGGGTATATAGTGCATCCGGTGTTCGAAATCATTGTTCTAACTAATCCGTCTTCGAATCGGGTAGGTCATTTCTGGAAGACAAACCTCTCCCAACAATCATTACTACATGCCCATGCACAGATTTAATCATGAATTGTAGTTAACTTTGTCGAATACCGTTACCACTTTGATCAAGTACTTCTTAGCCATATAAGGTATTTTTAATATGTTCAACTATCTAATATGCTTCTTATTTAGGAGTGTTAGTATATCAAAAAAAATTCTAAATACGAATTAATATGATCAATTGTCTACTATCCTACTTTTTTGGGATATAAGTATATAAAAGTTATTTTCAACAATAGAGATTAAATCATGTATATTCTTAAAATATAGTGACTGAAAAGCATATATTATTTACTTGTAGTAATTGAATCAAATATTATAAACAATCTTTTTTAGGCATAAAGCAAAATTAAAAAAAGAAAATTCCAACAAAAGTAAATAAAGCACAAAAAATAGGGGAAAAAAACCATGACAAAAAAAACTAATAAATAATTTTGAAATACTTATACATACTCGTCAAACTTTTTCTTTAGTTTTTTTTTTAATTAGCAAAACAGGTGTGTCTGGTGGGTGTAAGACCCATTTTATTTATCTAGATTCATAACTTTTTTCCTTAGTTATAAGTGCTTTTCAAGGTACTTATTCTTTTGCCATCAAGGTGCCAAACTTCTCCTGTAAAACAAAAACACATAGATAATCATGCACTTAAAGTAAATATATTTAACTATTAATATCTCAAATAAAGTTTATATTTATTTTCAGACTCTAGAACATGAGCAATTTCGTTTTAGTCCATCTGGCTCCTTTATACCGAGATTGATGCATAACTATTTTTTAGCTAAACCCATTAAAATTCTATAATAGCAATGGTGCATAACATACCAAAATGAGACTCTCGTGATTATTTAAAAATAAAACCATCAATACTCATAAATATGGCGAAGAAAGAAAAGGAGGGGGAGAGATAAGAGGCGGGATTGTGATGGCCGGTGGGTACTGGAGAAGAAGAAAGGGGAGGGAGAGAGAAGGGGTGGGTACGGAGGGGTTGGGATGAGAGATGAAGACATTTAATTAGTATTTAAATTAAGGTAAAATAAAATAAAATTATCCATAGTTTTTAATTTTATTTTTGTTTTAATTGTTTTTATTTAAAAGACGACAGTACCCTTTTGACAAGTTAACAATTAACTTGTTGATCGTTACAAATTTAACGGTAATTGGACGGAAAAGCGAAAAAGAATAAAATTTCAACTTATGGCATTTAATAAAGACATTTTGAACTTGAAATATATAGTAAAGACAAAACCCAACTTATGGTACTTTTTGGATAATTAATTGCAACATAAATAATCCTTAACATGGAAAATATAATCCATGTTCTAAAAATGATACCTCCCCTCTAGAAAAGAAAAGGTATATAAGTAGTACCAATTTTCTTTATAATATTGAAGTTTAAATTGCAAGATAAAATGATTAGTTAACAGTTCAAAATAAAGGAAAAAATCATATAGATTTTTTCCATTGATAAACCTTTTGTAATTAACGACCACATTTCTCATTATTAATCATAAATCAGATGAAAGGTCGTCCACA